TATGGGCTGCAGTATATTCAATTCGTCTAATTAGTGCATCCCGTGTGTCCACTTTTATTTTGTAGACTTCATTTTTCATCCAGCCCCATAAACAAAAATCTAATAGGACCTCCACGACCAATTCAACGCCCTGGAAAACGTTCGTCCAAATGTTGTTTGATCTGACGAGCGACATGTGCAGGAGCTCCATCGTGCTGATAGTACATCTGCATTCTAATATTTACAGGAACATCCTCTAGCAGGCCTTGTAATTCATTTTGTAAAATATTGAGGTAGTTGTCTCCTGTGAGACGATTCTCCAAAATGAAAGGGCCAATTAAATAACTGTGAACCATACCACACCATACGTTTACAAAAAACCGATGTTGAAAATTGCTTTCGACTGTTGCGTGTATTATTAATGCCATCAAGGGTAAATGTAGCTTCATCCGTAAAGAGTATACTCGATACAACACGATGATTATTATTTATCCACCGACAAAACTTCATACGGTTAGCGTAATCCTGTGGTTGTAGGTGCTGTACGTGATAAGGATATAAGCCTTGCTCGTGGAGTGTGTTTATCACTCTTTTTTGTGGAATTCCCAATTGACTGGCAATTCTCCGTGAGCTAGTAGTTGCATCTTCTTCTACTAGATGCAGAATATTTTCTACTTCTACAAAACCTTGTCGAGTAGCGCGTTCAGATGTTATGAAAGCACTGGGAAGCTTACCAGTCTCGCACAATTTGTTGAAAACTCTAATAAATACGTTTTTATTAGGATGTCTTCGGTGTGGAAAACGTTGACGATATTCTTCAGCAGCAGCTGTAGCATTTCCATTACAGAAACCATAAACAAACACCATATTTGCATATTCTAAATTTGAATTAGTATCTGGCATTTTGCAACACTAACAATCACATAAATTCGAAATTAAACGTTCAGTTATTGTTCACTGTACACTGACAGTTCATCAAAACGTCAGAATTATCAAATGCCTTTATGCCTGATAATGTTAAAATTCAGAAATGAAAAGCTAGATGAACATTTTTAATTACGCCATAACTTGAAAACAAATGAAAATCGGATAAGAACATATGAGTTTTTTTACATTATTTTCACGTGTATAATATGCTCCCAGAGTTTGGCGCGCTCCTCCCGACTCACCCTGTATATGCTGCAAGACCAACTTGAAAGGTGATGGGAAGTTTAGCTGAACCTCTCTAAGCTAGGCTTGGAGGGAACAGAAATAGATGCATCAAAACAAATGCAAATGTAACAAGAGTATTACCAGATATCTACCATAGAATGTAAGCATCGTAGGCACCTTATATATCCGTCTTTAAACATATATGTGAAAAATATGATAGAAAAAGCAGATATCGATGGTTTTTCATTTTGGAAAGAATCTTGTAGAGATATGGAAGCCAGACAAATCATTTAAAAAAACTGGCATACATTTAATTTAAAGGCACCAACTAAAAGCAAACAATTTCAATCAGTGTTTAAACTTTAGGCACCTACTTTTAAACAGCGACTGAAGAACCAGGCCAGAGAAAGAGCAGGAACAAAACCCAAAGGAAGAACCAACAAGTATTCAGAAAAACAGAGAGGGGAGAAGGAGTTATTAGGGAAGGAAATAAAGGTAAGAGAGATTGTTGGTAGACTGAATAAATTTGTAAACCATGTGGGCTAACTTAACTAATGATAAGAGGGTCCTAAGATATGTTAAAGGTTTTAAATTAATCTTCAAAACGTAGAAGAGCTTTCATCAAAGGACGTTTTCTCTTACAGAAAAAAATAACCTGCAAACTTCAATTAAAAAAAAAACTTGTACTAAAGAATGCAACAGGTGTTTGCTTGTTAAAGAAAATTAGTTTGGTTCTCATATTTTCTTTAAACCCAAATGAAATGATTCATCTAGATTCATCTTTAACAAATATATAGATCCTCGCATTTTAAACTGGAAAATATCAGGTTTCCCAGAATATTTTGTTACAGGACAATTTTATGTCAAAAATTAAATTAAAGGATGCCTCTTATCTCATCACAATACACAAAAAATCAGGAAAGTACTTAAAAAAAAACTTACAAATTTGAGTGTCTTACATTTGGTTTGACCATTTGCTCTATATGTTTTTGCAAACACTTTAAAATCAGTAGTGCATCAACTAAGGCGTTTGGAAATAACCTTAATGATTTCCTAATAATATAATTACATCTAAATCTACTGATGAATGTCTCAAACATTTTAATACAACGGTTAATTCTTTTTAACCCATATGATTCATCATAAAAAAGAAATGTGTTTTATCTAAAGTGTGCAAGAACTCGATTATTACGTAGTTGATGCATTTCTTGTATAAGTACTAAAATTAGAAAGACCAAGCAGAAGGCATAGTGATTGTACCAAAATGGGAAACTCAACTATCAACCATTACAAAAAAAGAGAAGTTTTTACGGTACATGTCAACATGAAACCTAGTTAATCACTGCAGCAAACCTTCATATAGAACTCCTTATAACCAGAGTTCTGCCCTAGCTCTCATTATAAATAGCCAAAAAAAAATTAGGTAATTTCTGCCCTAACTTTCATTATAGAAATTCTAAATAGTATATTAGGAAATTTCTAAAAGGGTCATCCTGTTTCGCCAAAATGTATTCAAACTTGAGACCAAAACACAGTACAGCTAAGAGCCAAACTTGTTTTGCTTGCAGCCCAACGGGTATAGACTTTCTCAAAAATTAAAGTTGAAAATGTCAAGGTGGAAGCTCACAATATACAAATTTTCATTGACGAAATGCTAAAACTTCTACTCCACAACGAGCTCTGCCTTTATTAGTATTTTTATTTTATGGGGAAAAAGAAAAAACAAAGTCTCACAGGTCTGCAGGACCTTTTATTCTAACCACTACCGCTCCAGTGCTTCCAGTATCTCACCAAACTATTGGGTGGGTAGCTCTCAAGCACTTAGTACACATACGTATGTACCCAGTCGCCTTTGAAGTTCTTCGCACACAAGCTTGCCGCCGTTTTTGTCTCTTCACACACATTCCCGGGCATACAGGTGTATCAAGCAGCGAGCGCAGGCTGATTGCATGCTCTTTCGACTGGCGCCGTTGGACTGGTCTGTACAGAGAGTGGATTTACTATTCTTTGTTTATGTAGTGTTTAACAAGTTTTACAATTAAGACGTAAAACCAACGTTCGCAGAAGTATTAAAAAATTATAAAACTGGATTGTTAAAATTCAATATTATTTTTTGTTGAATTATTCATTAGTATTATTAATAATTATTATTGTTAATTTTGTAGAAAATTTATAGTAATATTTTTTTGCTTATTCTGTTGTATACATTTACGTAGGAAGCAAAAATCTAGTTTTATTTTGAATAGAACAACATCCTCTAAACAACTACATGGTTATCTTTATTTCCACTAACAAGGATGCTCGCATAATTAGGATCGAACTTCCTTCAGGTAAGTCGTTTGATCCATTAAAAATATTATTTACATGGGCCTTACTTTTTCATGTGTTTTGATTTTCTCATAAATGTATACTAAATCAGCTACACCATGCATCGTCCACGAAGAATCGCCCCCGAATAAAACACACACAAAACAAAAAATCACATCCACAAATCCAGTTATTTTTTAAGTACAAATTCCGGTTAAACTTTCTTATCCGGCCTTTGAAGTTTGACGAACTTGAGGTTGTAGCCATCTGTGTTTTTGTTATTTTCAAATCGGAAAGAGGTCTCTTTTATTTGGATTTTTCCTCGAGCGAGTACGTAGAAAAAGGTTTCAGTAACATATTGCTTATTTTATTCATTTTGCTTCGGACTCTTGGATGATTTTTAATTTATTATACTTTAAAAACTCAACTATTCTAACTACCTAACAAACAAAAATTCGGCACGCATAAAATATCAAAAGCAATACGCCGAACACGCGATTAAAATAATACTATTCTAACTATTCATTCCGAGCCGCTTGAAACGTGGCCCCGTTTGAATGTATAAGAAACGCTTTCTATAGGCGAATGTCGTTACCTTTAATAAAGTTTTACAATGGATTGATATGTAAGTAGTCGGGCCACTGGTCGATGTGCTCGGATAGACGGCGGACACTCAATTGCTTGAATTATTAAATTTGTTGTGTCTAGGAATAATACGACGTAAGTTTTTTCAACGAGATCAAATTAAATAATGATAAATAATTTATATAATATATCGTTTAGCCATAATTTGATTCGACAATTGTAATAATTATTGTAATTGATATAAAAAGAAATATTTTTAGAAACCGAAATATTTAAAAATTTTGCGCCAGTGCCAAGGCCCTTTGGACAAGCCGGCACTGATTTTAATATTCGATGAAATAACTTTAATCGAAAAACTTACTTTTAATACCTTAAAATTTAAGTATTGTAATTTACCTCCAAAACAAATAATTAAATAATTAACATTATTTTTGTATAATTTTGACTTTTTAAGTTCTTCTTTTCATATATGACAACTCTGTTAGACATTCCTGGAATTTTCCCACTCTCTATTATTTTAAAACCATAGTGTAGAGGCTAATGAAAAGAAAAGGGTTGAGAATATAAGCAATATTAAAAAAATATGTTTAATGGAGTGTAAATAATACAGTTCTTTTAGAGTGTAAATTTAATTTAAAAAAAAAAACAACCAGTTTTGTATTACAAATTATTTTAATGAAATGATAATTATATATAACATTTATAATTAATATAAAACATTTCTTCAACATAGATCATAAAAGAACAACGTTGATTTCTCACTACTTTTTCAAAAATTGCCTTATTTACTGTAGTACCACCATTTCCTTGCCATAGCTTCAAAACTTCAGGTTTTGTAAAAACATTTTTCTTGTATTCTTTATCTAAATAACTTTGAAAACGGTTTTTAAAGTACACATCTACCACATTCCAAATACCTAAACTATACCAAAACATAAAAACTATAAAAGTGAACGCTTTGAAAAGGATTAAAAACATTATTTTCTCTCGGTATATTCTATGTATGAATAATACATAGCATCTAGAGTTTCTTTAATATTTGGCCAAGAAAGCACCAAAAACACAATTATAGAATTTCCCACGATAAAAAGTTTTAGATTTTCCACTCCCTCATCGGATCTCAACCAGTTCGAAAAGCTTTGTTCGTCTTCAGAATCCTGTGCAATGGGTTTAGATTCCTCTTCAGTTTTGTTAGATTTTGATAGTTTACTGGTTGGTTTTTTATTATGTTTTCCTTTCATTATTTATTTTCATTTGATGACCATACCTAAAAATTATTATATTGAGCTTTAATATATCAGTTAATGATAAAGCCTACACATGGAATCTACCCTACATAAAAAAGTGTATCAGCAAAAAGCATAAGAATAATATTCGAGGGAATAGTGCGAAAACCTGATAATTCATGAAAAATTAAAAATTGTACTTTTAATTCCATGATACTTAATTTTTTGCGCTTTATTTAATGGTAAATCTATTTATCCGGTTTTCAAAATGCAAGTCACCCAAACAAGTACAACGAAATCAGATAATTTGATTTAATAAAAATAAAAAACAACTGTATTATATGTTTTACTTCTTCAAATTGTTATTATCGTGTAACCATCTAAAGCCAACCCTGTTGTTTAGTCTGGAGTCGATCCTGTGGCCAGTTGCCGATGCTATAGTTACTTAACATGTTTTAGTTGTTATTTTTGCATTACGTCAATTTATACAATTATAATTCACTTTTGAATTTGTACGCTTTGAGCAAAATATATTTTCTACCCAACAGTTTTTAACCCCAATTTATTTTATTACGTTTCTTGGTCTACGATCCAGAACTGAATTGTCCCAGGAAACTCCACACCTGTTGCTCTCGGCATTACAAGCCGCTTCGTCTATGTTTCGATACCGCAGAACAAACGCACTCTATCGAGAAGTTACCGTTGCTCGCCGGCTGACTCAAAGAGGAAGAATTCCCAGATATTCTAGATCGCCAACAATCTACTGAAGCAGAGCTAACTTCATATAAATAGCGCGACTTTGTCGGTAGACGTTAATTACTGAGGCCCTTCTCATGGCGCCTCATTATTGCATTCGTGCAGACAAAAAAATTTTCTTATCCCCATTTTTTTAAACTTTTTTTCACGTTTCCGATCATTCAAAGTCCGAAAATGCAAAAAAAAAAGTTTTCATCTGGTCGTCTGTATGTATGCCGGCACGATAACTCGAGAACGAAAGTTCTAATTGACTTGCGATATTGATTTTCTTAAATAATTGCTTCTAACTTAGAACCCTATTGATTTTCAGAATTGTTGGTTCATCCTAACTACTTTAATATCAATGTTCTTAAATCGGCCTGTGTAATCCGTATGCAACTAATTTATACATTCCGAGCATTCCACGTCTAAATTCCTAAGATTCCTAAAATTCCACACATTGCAAAATTATGCACTCCAGCGACCTGTCAAATAACTGTTGATTGTAAAGGTGATATTTCTAAGAAGAGTTGCGACTTTCATAGTTACAATCATAGGCTATTTTTATTCGAAATAGTAGTCGTCAAGCCTGCCAATTTATGAAAAATATACAAGCAGTTTCTTAAGAGTGATTTTTTTATGGTTTTGCTAACTTAAGCTTACTACTATTTCGCTCCTAGCCACAGTGACACTGGCTCTGTCGCAACCCCATAGAATAATTAACCAGTTATTTTATTTCGTATGGCTGTACCAATGACATATATAGATTAATAGACTGCTCATCCATATATAAACAAGACGACGAAAAGCGGGTCAAATTGCTTGGCTTGCCGAGTGCTCACCAGGCAGAATCGGTCTGGCCCAAATGAGTTTAAAACTCATATTTCATCAAAATAGGAATTGAATTAAAAAAAAATTATCTGTATGTTTATTTCAAGACATGATCTTGCGTTAGATAATATAAAAAAGGATTTTGAGTCATAATGTCTAGTTTCACAATTTTCAAAACATTTTAAGAGATCTAACCAATTTTGAAGATAGATATAAACAATTTTACAGTAATGTGTATATAACTAACTTTAGACCACGACCACTGTATAGTGGCACTATTCGAACACTTGATTATTCTTTTAAAATTTATTTCGCATTATAAAAGCAGATATTATGCAAAAATTGAATGAACTTTTTAAAGATTTTACTAAAAGTTAGTAGCTTTTTCACATTCTAAAGTTTGTTCCCTTTAGACAATTAAGGATTATTTTGGCGGTGAATGTGAATTATTTGATAAATAATAATAAGATTCCACCAGTGGAAATCTGATCAACATCATAGTAAAATGAACTAGGTACAAAGTGCAGTTGACGTCAAGATCCGTTTAGCATCGGTAAGGGGGAAATAAAGATTCTGACTTACAATCACAAAGAGAACGTACAACTAAGCTTAGTCGATGTAAGTTAGCTCAGATTAGTGGTAAAAAGAAAGCGACTATTAATAAAAAGAAAAGTAATCCAGCTAAAACAAGAATTATGGCTACTGCCTTTAATAATGATATGTTGCCAGTACTAGTAGAATGTTAAGTGTTGAGTTATCTTCTTCAGGCAATGGATGTACGTATGCATAATTTAAAATGTTTGGTTAATTATTATTATTATGTTTAATGTGTTTTTGCACCATTGTGGAATTCGTTGTTTCTAAAGAATAGGAAAACGGAGATCAGTTATGTCTGTAAAGGATCAAGTTATATTTACTTTTATGAAGTTGAAAACTGATATGCAAGATATAATGTCTTATCTATTTTATTTGGAGTGAATGAAACTTTTTATCATTAAATTTTTTAACATTTTTTAATAAAACTGGTAGAAGTTCTTAGTATGATATAATTCGGCCTTCAAAACAAGAAATATTAAATAATGTGCCTCTATGTAAGTAAGAGTACTACTTGATTGTACCGAAATCCCAATACAGCAAGTCAAATGTCTTTGTTGCAGGCTAAAAAATTACTCTGACTACAAAAAGAGGCATACTATTAAAATATTGACTGGAGTGTCACCTACTGGTCTCATTACTTACAAAAGTGAAGCATATGGTGGTAGAACTTCAGAAATAGACATTTTTTAACAAAGTTCAATACTTGAAGTGTGTGAATCATTTCTCGATAGTAAAATGTTTAACAAAGGGTTTCTTATTGGAAACATAACAGAAGCTGAAGGTATACAAATTATACAGCCTCCTTTCCTCAATAAAAAAAATCAGTTCAGCCATCAAGAGGCTTTACATAATGCCAAAATTGCCAGAGCTAGAATTCACATAGAAAGAACCTATCAAAGAATAAAAGTGTTTGTCTCTCTGTATTGGTACTTATGTCCGTTTTTCTTCTATTTATATTGTTTTTATTATACGATACTTCTCTGTATTTAACTAAATTTTAAAATGTACTTGTAAAGCCTAGATAGCTCTAACTCGGGCCTTTGAATATGTATGTATGTATTTATGTAATTGTATTTACAATAAATACTTTATTATTAATATTATTATTATAATTAATTATAATTCATAAAATTATTATAAACGTATTTACCTTGTACCTACTTGTATTGATACTTGCGTGGGAAATGAAATGTTACTTTTTATATTTCTGTAGCTGGTCTTACAACCCTTTATAGAGCAATTCACCATTTAAATTTAAAAACAAAACAAGTTTTTATACTCAAATAATTAAAAAATTTAAAACAGAACATAAGTATGATTGAAACTAAATAAAATAAACAACTCAACAAAATGTCCAACTGAGTAATGACAATGAGAGCAAAATCTCAACTAGACTAAACTTTCTTTAAAACCGGTCCTGTGAAAGTTTTGTTTACCAGTGAGCACTCAAAATTGAGACAAAACACAAACATTGCATGCACTAGACAAAGAGAAAACATCTCCCAGTTCGACCCGCTTTTCATCGTTTTATTTACGTATGGATAAGCAGTCTATTTAAACTATATATGTCATTGGGCTGTACCTGTCAATGTCAAATGTCAAGTGTCAAGTTGTCAACTGAACTGTGATGTGTGAATTGTTCTTAAAAGTCAAATTATTTAAAAATGTTTGTATCCTTCTTTTGATATTTATTTTTAACAATTTTTAACATATTATGTAATGTGTATGTAATTTAAAAATAATTACACAAATCAATAATATAATTTTTTCTGGTTAATCGAATCGGTACGCATTTGATTGTTTTAAGGATAAGCGAGTGACGGTTTTACTGTGATTTTCATATTTTACGAACTTCGGTATGAAGTGACTGGAAATTATTTGTTGATACTGTAGCATATAAAACTTTAATGAAATCCTTAATATTATTTGAGCAATTTGTACATATTTTGGTTCGTGTGTGTGAAACTAACTCTGGCAAAATTGTTTCAATTATGTCAACAATATTCCGACATATTTATTTTTTCAAATTTGTGTGGAACAGTTTTATAGAAATATTAAATCCAAATTTGATTTTTGTCGTTAATGTCATTGTTGTTCATGATATCAATCAATACTTTAAAATACTGTAAATTTAGTCCCTCAAAGTAGATGTGCATGGCTCTGTCAATTTTGTTTAGGGAAATAATGTCAAGAGCAAATGTGTTGTAAGTACAACAGAAGTTTTTAGTAATTATATTATTATTGGATAAATTGCTTAAACAAGTTTTTAAATATAGAATGGTTTTAAAAATCAAGGCTTGTGAAAATCATTACATGGTTTAGCCTAAGTAATGCAAATGTTTCACAAACCAAAAAATTTAACGTGCTAATACTATTATCGGCTTTCGGTATTTCGGTCCAAGTTAAATCATTTCTCGTTTTTGTTAAGCTACGAGTTTACCCTTGTGAGCCTCAGTCTTGATAAGGTGGGAACCACCATTTCAGCGTCTCTCGTATTTTTAATATAAGTGCTGTATAGAAAAGATAAATTGTAATAAATAAATTAGAATAATTGTGAGTGATAATTGTATTAAATAATTTAATTAATACGTTATAAATAAATTATAAATAAACTGTTTTAATTAATAAACTATTTTTAAACTAAATAATCTTTACATTATTTTTTATGTGTGGTAAATACCGGTAAGTTTATTTAATTGGTTCAATTTTTAACGAACCTTTATGCAATGAAAAACATTCTAACAAAAACATATTAAAACATTTTATCTGGTTTTAGCCTAATCATTACATATTAAAAATGGAATATACTCGTTTTTTTGTAATTTTTATTTTGCTGGTTTTTCGATAGAATT